CACCCGGCTTTCGGTGGGTTTGGCAAACGCTTTTCAAGTATCACCAATGTGCGAGAACCTGCATAAAATGATAATCTGTCGAAAACGAATATCGTCAAACAACGGATATTAGCTTTGACAGATTATTGAGGTATGATCACATTCACACGACTCATGATGAATAAACCCAGGACGTCCTTGTACTAACGCTCACATTCGCATCATCGATTGTACCAATTTGGGAGGCAACAATTTGCCGCCTCCCCACTTGCACCAGAAACACCACCTATCGCACAAAGCGGTACTCGAGGGTGTCGCAATCCATTAATAAAAATGGCGTAATTTAATGTATGAATGAACTGATATTATCTTGACAAACCGACCAATAGTAATAACGAACTCCATTCTAAGAGATGTTCCATACAAAAGCTTCTCAACACATCACCGACCACTCGGTTGCACGTTCTGCTTGCCCATTGGTTTCCGGGTGTACAACTGAAGACATATCCAAGCGAGAGGCAAGGATTCGGTACAATTCTTTTCAAAGTCACTCGTGAATCGTGTATCACGATCAGGGACAATGGCGTCTGGAAAAACGAGATTGCGAATAACGTGAGTAATGAACAATAAATCAGAACTTTCGGTATTAATGGAATCTTAAACGGAGCGAAGCGGGCCATCTTGCTGAGTCTGTCAACAAAGACGAGTACCCCATTGTCGCCATCAGCATTCTCGGTGTACTAGTAAAGAATATTCCTCCCTGATGATCTGAGGACGACCACGACCTGTGGTGTTTACATTATCCGTCGATAAATCCATCGAAGTAGTCGGCATTGGACTGACTACTGGTGCTACCAAATGTATAGGGACACTTTTTGAGGAAGACTTAGGTCAACTGACACGACTCATCACATGTTTCTCGCTTCCAGCGGGTCGTTGACTTACGTAGAGAGGAGGTGAATTGACATTTATTCTTACAGCCAATAGGCTTTGACCTCTCTAACCTGATAAGTGCCTCCATCTCTGATACAACCGAACCGAAAGGGGATATACAATTATACAGGATGCACAATTAATGTTAGACACACAAAGTATGTGCTCCATAATCGGGATTGGCCCATTACATGTTTGCCGGATGCATGTTGGCAGATAGCTTGTTTATGCACATACTCTCGAGTTCTGCACAAACTCTCGAGTTATTCACATACTCTCGGGTGCTGCTCGCAAGCGTTTGGTGCGAGTGCCTCTATCCGATTTTCCGTACTCTGCACGCCCATTGACAAATATATGGTAAAGATAGACTTGCGCATATGCATATTGCGACCTAAATAGCTGCATCACCAGATTGTGGGGCGTCGCCGGTGTGTTGGACAGTCTATCCATCTCTTCCCAGATCATTCAAATTTGAGTACATATTGTAATAAAAGAAATGCCACTTCTTTCACAATCATCTGAAAAATACCAACAACTAGGATTAAAGCACTAGACAAGGCGCGATCAATCATGCTGCTCTGGTGCACATTCTTTCTAGGAACTAGCGCTCAGCAAATGGTAAAAGCATTTGCCTTGTTGTAAGCATGTTTACACTTGTTGGTAGCCTCTTTGACGCAAAAGTCTACATAAAGAGGGAAAACTTATTTGTCTCGCCGATCCGTAAATGTTTCGCACAGTTGAAAGCGTCTCTGACGTCGCAAATATTCCTTCGTAGAAACCATTGACGAGCGACGCAATTCCAACCAATCAGGTTGGCTTTCCGATATGGGGAACTCGCATGGCGGGTCTCTCATCACAGCATCGTGATATATAGCAAATGTAGGGTCGGGATGATGATCCACCGAAGGATTCCATAAGAGTGAAGTACATGGCAGTCATTATATTATAGTTTTCGTTGATCCATGGTTCATGTTGTTCCAGTCATATCATAACTAGGGTGAATTTGTGTCTCAGGTAAATTACTAGAGATTTAAGCTACCGTAATCCACACGCTAGAATTAAACTTTCTTTAGCGCGGGATGCTGGTAGCTAGCCGACCCATTTTGAGACCGAGTTCCGTACCCCTCGGTACACTATGGGGCTCTATTTCGGTCAGTAGGGCCTCCCCCACTCAATGATCACAAACCCATTGGGTGCGGATTGGCAGGGTGGTCACACCACAGTGATGTGAATGCTCGTCCACTTTAGTGACCTATCTTCGGCCTCCTTGATTCGGATCATATGGGTATCAAATCACGGACCCCCCGGCCCTAGGCGAAGCTACAAAGCACTTGAGCCAGGAATTGGTCGATAAAATGTCTAGACAAGATAGCGTACAGCAGTGTCAAAATCCTCAAATTTTAATAGGAAGATTTGGAGGAATCTTTTATTATAGCAGACATTGCAAGAAGCAATAAAATGGTATCCTCATTTAGCGTATACAATGCTTTCCCATACTGTCTGCTAATTTTGCCGGTCGTGCGTTGATCATCATTGAACGACGCTCTTAAATATACCATTATTTTCCTCGACTAGATAAAGTCGGGGACTCGATGTTGACAATCAACAGTCTCGGGGTGTGAGCCTTACTTCTCTCACAGACTCGCTCGCGTCCGGGCTGTTTTCTGTGTCTTGTCTTCTTCGACATACCAAAGAGATCCGCTCTAGTCCACAAGGATGCACTGCGCTAACCAAAAATCTACATTTTCCAGCAAATGATTCATCGATCATCCTTGCGCGGGAACTGGCCTTTGCACTACATACAATTATATAGCACCTGGTGCTCCACTAGATGTAACTTGTGAGTACAGCGATAAGTCTCAGCAGCCAAACAATTGTTCACTTACTGCTTGGCATTAACGCGGTCATATTTCTTTTGGCAAGTTCATACACTCGCCACCATCGGCCCACGCAGCACGGAAGTTATAGTCCGTGCTGACCAATTCTCACGACACACGGATGTTGTTTTCCAATTTTAACGGGATGCACAACGCATTCTTAAAAGAGGTAAGGTGGACAGAAAATATATAAGTGCAAGCCGAGTCTGTACAGGGGCCCCGCCATGAAGATGATTACTGATCTTTTGTCTGAAAAAGGGATTTTAGCCATCGCGGCAATAACAATTCTCAGTCCCTGACTCAGTCCACCAACAATCCCCTCAAGTTTTGATCGCACACGGTACGACTAATGAGACGATTTGAACACCCGCGAGCTTTCCGGCGTGAAACTAGACATTAGTGTACATTCGCGCGCGCGGCCTCCTAGCGTAAACACCGCTAGCTCGACGCGCTGCTGCTCCGTCTCTAGCATGAACAGTTTTGTTGCCATCTCAGCTGGAGAAAAATTATCTTTGTCTCCGCCTTCAAAGGACAGGGCTCTTGGCGAAAGACTGTAGTGTTCGTAGCGTGTCTTGCTGCCCCGACGACGGATGGTAGGGAAATTTACGCGTCAACCCCAAGAATATTCCAGTTTGTTAAGAAGCATTCGTCGGATTGACAACGGGGCTACAAAGTAAAACAAGATTGTTGTGCGCATCACACATAATTTTTTGTACAACGACTCCGCGTAAATTTACGCGCAGAGGATATACTCGTGCGTTCCACTCAAGAGCCAACCGGGGGCTTGATAAGTGCCTCATTATCTTGTTTGGTCTTCGAAGTGGCTTACTCGATTGGAACTATTACTGGATAGATTGGAAAACTGAGATTTTTACGAAACGTTTGCCACAGCTTGTTCGACGCGTTCTGCATAATGAATGCTTACACTAAAGCCAACGATGTTCGCAACGGTGGCAAGCGCGAGCTGCCTCTAGATTTCTACGTTGACGGTGACGAGGCTGTACTCACCGATCCCATCACCATAAAGCATGGGCGATATGAGAGCTAGCGGACTTGCAGTCGCGAAGAAGCCCGGGTTTTGACTCCAACCGAGTCTAGCATTTTTGTAATCTATCGCTTGGCTGACCACAACGCTCGCTTATACGACCAGCACTAACTCGACAGCTATAGCAAGTCACTTTGGTAAAGGAAAATCATGATTTAATGTCTTCATTAAGAATCAAAAATTCATTTTTATCCTAATTTTAAAAGTTTAGATTTTCATAAATGTACTATATATATATATATATAGTAAAATCTCAATACATGCATAACTACTGGCTACCTAGCCCCGTACCGTATTCTTGTTTGGGTG